CGGCGCAGCATATAGAATCAAAATACGACAAACACAAGACTATCAAGTTACACTTGTAACAATGAATTATTTGTTGAGCGAATATGAAAATCTAACCTTAATTTAGAAATTGCCGGCAATACAAAATCCGGCCACCTAATTGTTAACCTTAGCCTTAGATAAACATCGTTTATGATAGTCATCGCTTTTAACTTTTTGATGATAATCGTTTAGAGTTAACTCGTGGTAATCAACCATACCGATGATTATCGATATTTTTTTATCGATGATCATCGATTATTGGTTAATAATCGTTAGTAATCGGCTAAAAAATTTCCCGATGATCACACTTTGTATTATTAGAAATATGTAGTTCAATTAGTTTAGAATCTCCTAAAAGATGTTTATTTTTTACATCCTGAGTATTGATAATTTTGCTAGTATACTGTACATGGAGTTCGGATGCATTGGTGAAATTTTTGGCAATAATTTCATACTTTTATCTGAATATACAAATTTTAATTTGATGTAAAAATTTTTATCTAATATTTTGAAATTCATAACAAGTTTCCATTGATAAAGAACTGAAAAAATATTTTTAGCAGTAGGTCGTTTTTTTAAATCCGAATCCATGCATTGTTTAGCCAACTCTATATAACAATCAGGAGTGTTGGTAGGAAATTCTGGTCTTAAACCATTACAAATCCTTGATGAAAGCTCGCAATCAAATTCATAGCCATCAAATGGTCTTTTTCCTGTTGTTATTTCTGCCAAAACAACCCAAAGTTCATAAATATCAGCTGCTGGTGTATATTTTTGACCCAATAGAATTCCTGGAGCAATGTAGGGCATGACTCCATAAATTTCAGATGAAATTTCATTTTTTTCTTTAAATAACCCAAAATCTGTAACATAGGAAATAAAATATGAATCTGCATTTACTAAAATATTACCACTGTGAAAGTCACCATGAATGTGTCCAGTCTTATTAATTAGTGACAAATCATTCGATATAATTACTAGTTGTTCTAATATATCTTGCCATCGAAAGTTATCAGACACAGTTGTTAAAAATTTGTGAAAATCTCTTAAATTAGCATACTGAAAAACCATCAAATATTCATTATCTGCATTTTGAGTTATTCAATATACTTCAAGTCTACTACCTTCTAATCTACAATGCATATAATTTTTAAATTCTTCTAAAAAATTGGAAGAATTTATTGATTCAGGCAAGGTCTTAAGAGCAACTGTGCATGGTTCTGTACGTGATCTCTCATAATTATCATAATTACCTTTAATTACTCGTTTTCCATCTAACCACGTTGCCGAAAATACAGAACCAAATCCTCCCCTACCAATATTTTTTATATCAGTCAATCTATTAAATGGAATCCATTCGATGACATCTACATATGTTGTAGCCTTAAGCTGAAATTCTCTAATGCAATTATCAACATATATATCACAACTTGTCCACCCACCTAATGAATTAAGGTCGCACGTCCGACACCAGACTAAGGATGTGTTATCCTGTTTGCACTGCACACATATTCCATAATTTAGATTCCGGTTCATTTCTTTCATTCGTGATTCCCACTCTGCTTGTGCCTTTTTAATCATGGATAAATCTAGTCTTTCAGCTACTATAGCAAAATTTTCTTCTACTTCTTGTTCATCTATTTTACTAATTTTACGATCTCTCTGATGAATACCTTTTCTGAAGGCTGCTTTAATCCTTTCTACTAACTCAATGTGCTCTTCTTTCCATTTAGCCTTCTCTCGCTCTTCCTCCAATAAAAAGTCTATTTCATGTTCTCCTCCACGTTCTCTAGCAACTTCCTCCCTGGCTTTTAATGCCCATGCGTTATTACCTTCAATATTTAATAATTTGTATAAATCTGCAAGCGATTCTTCGTATCTCCTCATCATATGATAAACTTATCCTCGATATCTTAATGCAAATGCTTGATTTGGATTAATTTCTAACAATTTTTCAAGACTTGCAAGTGCTTCTTCATATTCGCCGGCGACAAAATAGGTTTTCCCTTTATATTTCAACACAGACTCTTTATCTGACTCGATTTCAGATAATTTTAATAAATCTGCAACTGTTGAATTAGTAATTCACCATTGCATTGATTAAATGCTTTGATCCATGCTTCTTTCAATAAATCGTTTTCAATATCTCTGTCGTGCCTGAAGTTGACATTAGTTGCCTGAAGTTGCACTTGACTGAAATTAACCCCTGAAATTAGATCATCTTGCATGCATTAATTAGTAATTTTAGGCAATTTTAGGCAAGTGTAACTTCAGGCAAGTGTCAACTTCAGGCACGACATCTGTCTCCATGAGATATTGCTGTATATTCAAACATTCTCTGTCCAAAATTTACTTCTAAAGAGCCGCCGCGCGATCTCATCCCTATACAAGGATACAGGTTATGTTTCATCTTTTTAAAATCTCGAAATGCAATTCCTAAATGTACACCATTTTTAGTATAGTATACCAAATTTTGTCTAAAATTTAAACACCCATATAATTCAATGATTCCTGAGCGATGGTATAACTTTCCGTCATCACAATGATAACCCCAAGATTCATTTTCCCATCCGGGCATTAAATTTAAATTTGCTGTTTCTGTACAGAACCCAATTCCAATTATTCCATTTTGCCCTTTACTAACAATAGTAACTTCGAAATAAAATAAGTCATACTGTGGAGGAATAGGTTTATCTACGCGTATAGCGGCACTATCATAGTAACTTTTGCCAGGACCAATGTAATTCACTCTATAATCTCCCGAATCCACACTTAAAAAAGTTGATTTATCATCGACATTCCACATAGTCATACAATTTTTAAAGGCTGGTCTACATTTTCACCGATTAAGAAATAACCTACGTTGGTTCAAAATTTAAAAATGACCTAGGTCAATTCGGAATCGACCTAAATTGTGAAATGAATCAGAACATTTATAGTTACGCACGAATGCAAAAAATTAACTATAAATAAAGTTCGATCAAATTGAATTGATTTTTTTTTTTTTTTTTTTTTTTAACTTCGAGAAACAAAAGTTTTTTTTTAAAGTTTTGATTTCTCGGGTTATATATTCTAATTAATATTTGGTTAGATCAACGTATTTTTTAAGAACGTCGATAATATTGTTGATCCGAAAAATCCAAAAATAATAATAATATAAAATAATAAAAAAAAGATTTGTCTACGATAATAATAAATAAATAAATAAAATTATAGTAATAATAATAATAATAATAACGTATAAAATTATTAATATACGTAAGAATATATCATAATATTAAGTCAAATATGTCTTCAAATTCACAAGATCTCACTCCTGAACTACAACAGCCGTCAGGCGAATCCGTGTCTGATGTCAAAGGGGAGGAAATTAATTTTTCCATAGTCGATGCATTACCACCACAAGACGTGCCCGATGTCAAAGAAGAGGAAATTGACTTTTCTGTAGTCGATGCATTACCACCACAAAAAGATTTTGATGATGATGATTTGAAAAAAAGAAAAAAAATTAAATCAAAAACAAAAAGATAATGCTGCTACAGTTCCTTTCTTTAAATTATTTAGATTTGCTACTCCTCTTGATGTAATTTATATGTTGGTTGGATCTATCGCATCTTTGGTGATTACAATTTTTCTTTTTAATTCATTATTATTATATATATATTTTTAACTTTTTATGCAGGTTTTAGGTGCTGCTATACCTGTCATGACAATTTTCTTTGCCGACTTTATAAATGCTTTTTATGTCTTTGCATTTCAACATAATACTTGCTTCCCAACATGTAGAGATGCTGCAGTACAACAATTAGATAATAGTGTTAGGGATGATGCTTTTCACCTTATTGAATTGGGTGTAGTGGTTTTTATTGCTGGATACTTGCAAATGTGTTTATGGATGATAGCTGGTGAACGTCAGGCAAATGTCAGTATTATAAAAATGTTATTCACTTTTATCATTAAATTTAATTGCTGCATTTTGTTCTAATGTAAAATTTTTTTTTCTTAAAAAGAGACTTAGAACATTATATTATTCTGCAATTCTTCGTCAAGATATCACATTCTTTGACACAGTATCAACGGGTGACGTCACCACACGTATATCTGGGGATATTTCTCTTTTTCAAGAAGGTATATCTGAAAAAGTTGGTCAGGTTTTACAATATGCTGCTACGCTCCTTGGTGGGTTTATTATTGGTTTTATAAAAGGTTTGATCCTAATTTTATATAATCTTTCGGATAAATTCTACCATATACAAATTAAATGATTTTAACTCTTTTTTATAATTTAGGTTGGAAATTAACTCTTGTTCTTTCTGCTGTGTTTCCTCTAATGGCTATTGCTGGTGGATTTATGGCAAGAGCTCTTAGCAGAGGCACATCTGTAGGTTCGTTATTTTATTAGTTTTTTTTACTTGAAATTTTCTTGTTAGTTCTACACCTTTTAAAAAAATTTTTTTTGATAAAACAGGACAAGGTTCGTATACCTCTTTACTACAGTAATATACTATTAACTTTTAATTATTATCATATCTTGAAATTATTCTTTATTCTTAATTTCTTTTGTTTCTTCGAAATAAATAGATGCTTATGCTGCTGCTGGAAGTGTAGCTGAACAAGTACTTTCTGGTATAAGAACTGTAGCTGCTTTTGGTGGTCAAAAACATGAAGTTGAACGTTATACTGCTCAATTAGAGCGTGCCTATATTTTGGGAAGGAGAAAAGCTTTTGTTAGTGGTACTGGTCTTGGTTCTCTTGTGTTTATTATGTTTGGCTGTTATGGTTTGGCTTTTTGGTACGGTAGTATTTTAATTGTAAATCATGAAATGACCGGTGCTGAAATTTTAAATGTTTTCTATGCTGTTTTTGTTGGTGGTGAGTTTAATATATACCTATTTTTAACCAATATTTTTGTTTTAACTTTTAAAAACTGTATAAAATAATATCTTATTTTTGAAATTATAAAATTATAAATTAATTTATTATTATTATTATTTTACTATAGCTTCCTCCGTTGGAACTGCTGCCCCTTATTTCACTGCTATATCAAATGCTATGGGTGCTGCTACTAAATTATTTGAAGTGATTGATCGAGTTCCTTTAATTGATTCAACTTCATCTAATGGTCAAATTATTAAAAAATCTTCTTCACAAGGTCGTATAGAATTTAAAAATGTATCTTTTCATTATCCAACTCGTCCAGATGTTCAAGTTTTAAAAAATTTTAATTTGATTATTGAACCTGGTCAAACTGTTGCTTTGGTTGGTAGTTCTGGAAGTGGAAAATCTACAATTATTAGTTTATTAGAAAGGTTTTATGATCCTGCTAGTGGTTCTATATTACTTGATGGTGTGAACATTAAAGATATTAATATTAAATCATTAAGAACACAAATTGGTTTAGTTGGTCAAGAACCTGTTTTATTTGCTGAAACTATTAAAGTTAATATTGGATGGGGTAGTGATCCAATAGAATCTGAACCTACCTTGGATGATATAATAGAAGCGTGTAAAAAATCAAATGCTCATGATTTTATAGATGAATTACCTAATAAATATGATACAGTTGTAGGAGAAAAAGGAAGTTTACTTTCAGGTGATTTTATTTAAACATTCTTTTTTTAAAAAAAATTTAATTTGTGATTAATCAATAGTTCGTCAATATCATCTGTTATGTATTCACGTATGTCAGGTGGGCAAAAACAGCGAATTGCTATTGCCAGAGCTTTGATCAAAGATCCACAGATATTATTGTTAGATGAAGCTACTTCTGCGCTTGATACTGAATCTGAACGACTTGTCCAAGAGGCATTGGATAATGCTGCTACTAATAGAACAAGGTGTTTTTTTTTATGTCCTTTTGAATGATAATATTATATTTTGTATTCACACATGTCAATTATATAGCATCATAATAGCACATCGATTATCAACCATTAAACATGCTGATAAAATAGTTGTTATGAAAAAAGGTGAAATAGTTGAAATTGGACGTCATGATGAATTAATTGAAAAACAAGGTGTATATTTTGGTCTTGTTAGAGCTCAAGAATTAGAAACTCAAAAAACTGCAAAAAAAACTAATGATGATGATGATGAAGAAATTAGTTCAACTAGTTCTAATGATGATATTGCAGTAATAATAGATGAAAAGAGACATAAATTACATTTAAGAAAATTGTCTACCAAAGGATCGGTTACAAAATCTATAAAGTCTGATGAAGAAATTATAAAAGAAGATATGGAAAAAAAATTATTACAAAAAATACCATTGGCAAGAGTCTTTAGATTATGTCAACCTGAATATGGATTGATGTTCATTGGTTGTATTGGTGCTGCAGGTATGTTTATATAATTAGTTAAATTTTTATATACCACTGAACTAATAAATTAATTTAATAAAAAGTGAGTGGTTGTATTATGCCATTATTCAGTTTGTTGTTTTCTTCTATCCTTGATGCTTTCTCACGGACTGATCAGTAAGATTTCATGCGTTAATTTATTTGTTTAATTTATTTGTTTAATTTATTATGTTAATTTGCTATAATTATTTATAACAATTTTATTTAATTTGTTATAATTTTATAAATAGACTTGATGAACTTCAACGAGCTGCCAATTTTTCGTCTATGTGTTTTGCAATATTGGCTGTTGTTGCTTTCTTCGCAAACTTTTCCCAATTATCAATGTTCACGTTAGCTGGTGAACGTCTTACAAAACGCCTTAGAAAATTAACTTTTGAAGCTTTATTAAGACAAGAAATTGCATATTTTGATGATGAAAAAAATGGAACTGGTGTATTAACTTCAAAATTGGCTGTAGACGCAACAAAAGTTGAAGGGTTGAGCGGTGGTTTGATGGGAACTGTAATACAAAATCTTTGCAATCTAGCAGTTGGATTTGTAAGTGTTAGAAAATACTGTATTATCTTTTCCTTTTTGTAAAAAACGTGATGATTTTTAGATGTTAAACAATGTTTATTTAATTTAGGGGCTAGCTTTTGGTTTCGGTTGGAAATTGACATTAGTCATTCTTGCTGCTTCACCTGCTCTTGTAATAGCTGGCTTTTTAGAAACGAGAGCGATGGTTGGTTTCGGTTCAAAGGTAATTAATACTACAGTACATTTATAATTTTTTATATTATTCATTATCATCTAATTAAAATCATATAATTAATTAATTAATTAATTATTAACTTTTCAGACACGTGCAGCATATGAAGAAACTGGCCAAATAGTTCAACAAAGTGTTTCTAACATGAGGACAATTGCGTCATTAACTAGAGAAGAAACCTTCAAAACTACATATCAAAATGCTCTAAGAGAACCACACAGAATCGCAATTAAGGGAAGTTTACTATCATCATTTGGATTTGGTACATCTCAAGGAATTTTGTACTTTATTTGGGCATTATCATTTTGGTATGGTTCAAAATTGGTCAAATCAGATGAATATGAATTACAACAAATGCTTCGAGTTATGTTTGCTGTTTTGTTTACAGCTGTTTCTCTTGGACAAATGGCGTAAGTTAACATACAATATACATCATAAATTCAGACTAATACTGCATTATAATTAATTAATTTATTAATTTATTTATTATTTTAGTACATTTGTACCAGATGTTGCAAAAGCAAAAGTCGCAGCTCTTTCAATCTTTGAAATTGTAGATAGAAAATCTACAATAGATCCTACTGATAATGAAGATAAAAACCGCCCTGCACCAATATTAGGAGATTCTTCATTTCATTCGGTTCATTTCAATTATCCTGCTCGTCCGAATATACCAATTCTTCGAGGTTTGGACTTGTCTATATATTCTGGAAAAACTATTGCACTTGTTGGGTCATCAGGTTCTGGGAAATCGACAGTTATTTCGTTATTATTAAGGTTTTATGATGTAAATTCTGGAGAAATTGAAGTTGAGGGTGTTAATGTTAAGCAATGGAATTTAGAGTATTTAAGAGCAAATATGGCATTAGTTGGACAAGAACCTGTGTTATTTGATTTAACAATTGAACAGAATATTGTATGTTTTTTTATTTTTTTAAATTATCTAAAACTTTTAATCATTCGTTGTCTGACCTTGGTTTTTTTTTTATTCTTGAAGGCATATGGAAAAGAAGGTTGTACTAGAGAAGAAATTGAAGAAGCTGCGAAAGAAGCAAATATTCATAACTTTATTACAGCCTTACCGGATGGGTATAACACTCGTGTAGGTGAAAAAGGAACACACCTTAGCGGTGGTCAAAAAACAGGTTAATAAATTTTTGTTGAAATGTTTGAAATTTTTGTACATAATATGTATAGCATAGATTAAACTTTTTATTTTTTTAGAGAGTGGCAATAGCACGAGCTCTTATTCGTTCCCCGAAAATTTTATTACTTGATGAAGCAACTTCAGCACTGGACTCTGAATCCGAAAAGGTTGTACAGAATGCATTGAATAAAGCCAGTAAAGGTTCGCATTGTCAACTTTAAATTTATAACAAAATCAATAAACATGTATTCAATAAACATGAATTTTTTTTTTTCTTTTTTCCTCCTGACTTAGGTCGCACAACACTTACAATAGCCCATCGATTATCGACAATTCAAAATGCAGATTTAATCTTGGTCTGCAAAAAGGGTAGAGTTGTTGAATCTGGTAAACATTTTGATTTAATAAATCAAAAAGGATTATACTATGAATTGGTTAACAAGCAAACTTTGATAAAGAAAGAAAAATGATTAAGGATGTGGTATAATATATAAATATATTATAAACAATATATTAAAGGAGCGTTACGAAAAAAATAATGGTTAAATTTTTTTTAAGGTTAATATAGTAATTTCTTTTTATAATAATATATATATATATTGAAAAATTGAACTGCATATATTTAATAAATACGTGTAAATGGTATGGTTTAAACTCGTATCGTAATAAAATAAAATAAAAATGCTCTCAATTCTGACGAAATCAAATATTTTATCATACAATACTAGAGATGGGAAAAATGCGCGTTTTATAATAACATGCGCATGAATGCGCATTAGCATGATTAAAAATCCATTTGATTGGCTGATCGACAAAATTTTTTTTATATTGCTTAAATAAGGAAAAGCCCATTTTTACTTATATGCAAACTAGGTTACATTCATATTAACCATCGACGAAACTTCACCACTACCTTAGCAGTTCGCTTGTTTTCTTACCTTCAAATTTAATCTGGTATAATCAGATTCAATA